AACTATTCCCTCCTCGCCTTGGTCGGATCACGATCCCTTGGTACTTCTCCTTGCCCTCTCTGGGTCAGAACGGCGCCCTTTTCATTGGCGCATCAATGATTCTTTATTGACCACTCAGGCTACCTGCCAACAAATAGAATTTTTTTTACGAACATACTTTACGGAAAACGCGGGATCGGTCTCCTCTGCAGTGCCCCTATGGGAGGCGCATAAGGCCACGGTGCGGGGTCATGTTATACAGCTGGCGGCGGTCCGGAAGCGGGAGCGGGAGCGCCGACTTTTGGAGCTTCATTCTCTCCTGGCCTCTGCGGATGCGCGTTGGAAGTCATCTCCATCCGCGGCCCATAAACGCGCTCGGGACGCTCTGGCGGCAGAGTTGGACTTACTTGCCTCTTCGGAGGCAGAACGGGCCCTGCGCTGGACCAAACACAAATTTTATTCCTGTGCTAATAAGCCGGGCCCGATGCTGGCCAGGAAACTCAATTCTGTGGGGAAACCCCATAAACCGATTCGACTGCGACTTCCTACAGGTGGCTGTACTTCTAATCCCCAGCAGATTGTTTCCCGTTTCTCAGACTTCCTTTCACGCCTCTACGCTAAACCAGATCCCCTTCCCCATGGCTCAAGCAGAGGCATTCTTTCAAGATCTCCGACTTCCTGGGTTATCCGAGGCGGCACAGGTGGCACTCAACGCCGGTGTCACTGTACCAGAAGTGCTCCAAGCTATCAAATCTTTACGGTCCACCGCGGCCCCAGGTCCCGACGGCTTTTCCGGTCTTTATTATAAGAAATTCTCAGCCTTGTTGGCGCCCTTTTTGGCTGAGTATTTTAATGCGTTACGACAGGGCTCCTCGCCCTCTCCAGATGCGCTTAGAGCGCATATCGCCATGATTCCTAAGACGACTGATGATGTACAGGAACCGCAAGCCTTCCGGCCTATTTCTCTTCTTAATGAAGACCTGAAGATACTGGGCAAGATCCTTAGTTTTCGCATCAATAAATATTTGCGTAGCCTGGTCCACAGGGACCAGGTGGGGTTCGTCCCCGGGAGGCAGGCGGGTGATAACGTTCGTAAGGTGGTCCATCTTATACATTTTCTGCAACAACGGAAAATCCCAGGATTCTTACTGTCTTTAGACATCTATAAAGCTTTTGATTCTCTATCCTGGGAATATCTGCGGTTTGTGCTGTCTCGTTGGGGTTTTGGGGATTCTATTCTTTCTTGGATCCAGGCCTTGTATTCTTCTCCATCGGCCTCCGTCAAATACGCTGGGTATTTTTCAGATCCCTTTCCTATTGGGCGAGGGACGAGACAGGGTTGTCCCCTGTCCCCAGCGCTCTTTGTCCTGGCGCTTGAGCCGCTGGCTTTAGCGCTTCGGACCGATTGCAATGTATCGGGGGTTCCTTACGCGGGACAGGAATTCAAACTGAATCTTTTTGCGGATGATGCCCTCCTGACTCTTACTAACCCCCTGACGACGCTTCCTAATTTGCAACAGGTTCTTGAGCGCTTCTCCTTGATTTCGGGTCTCCGTATCAACTTGGATAAGACTATAGCCCTCAATATTACTTTGGTTTCGCGCCTACAATCCCACTTCCCTTACAAATGGGCTTCCTCTTCTCTTGAATACTTAGGCGTTCGCTTGACCCCCACTTATGACTCCTTGTTTGCTGCAAATTATTATCCATTGCTTAGCTCTCTATCCTCTCTTATGCATTCTTGGCAATTTCCGCACCTGTCTTGGATAGGACGGGTTAATTCGGTGAAAATGACCATTTTGCCGAAATTGTTGTATTATTTTCGCACACTCCCGGTGCGGGTTCCCCCTCATTTTCTTCGGTTGCTTCAGGCGAAGTTAATGCGTTTTATCTGGGCCGATAAGCACCCCAGAGTATCCAAAAGTACGCTTTTTGCCCATAGACTTCAGGGTGGTCTTGGGGTGCCTAATGTGACTAAGTATTATCAAGCGAGCCAGATTGCCCCGCTGTCTATGTTGCACGCCTCTTCCGACGTCCCCCTCTGGGTCCTGTTGGAACTACCTAATTGTGCCCCTATCGCACTGTCGACGCTTCTATGGCTCCCCCCTGCCCTGCGCCCTATGGCACTGAGTCCGATGTTACTTCATGGCCTACAAGTTTGGGACTCGGTACGTTATTCTGGTGGTCTGATGTCACCTTTTCTGCCTTTGCTACCTATTATTAACAACCCTCTTTTCCCGCCGGGTTTGGATCACCCAGGGGCGTTTTCTTGGTGGGTGACTAATGGTTTTTCGCAGGTGCGACACTTTTTAATTTTTCGGTCCTTTCCCACCTGGGACTCTCTTCGGGAGTCCCGGAATATCCCCCCAGCGGAATTTTTTCGATATCTTCAATTGCGACACTGGCTGCTCTCGCTGCGGGGTACTTCTGCGTTCCCGTACCAGAAATCTGCCTTTGAACAGCTTTGCCAACAGCGTCCGGGCGCTCCGGGCCTTATATCCCTTCTTTATGCAGCTCTGAACAGACGCTCATCGCATACTTCTCTTTCATATGTTGTTCAGTGGGAGCGTGACCTGGGAGCGGCTGTGGATCCGGAGGACTGGAATAAGGCCTGGTCACTCATAGCTAAATGCTCATTTAATACGACCACACTGGAGGCAGCCTATAAGGTATTGTTTCGTTGGTACTGGGTTCCGGCTCGGTTGGCCCGGGCTAACCCTGCCTGTAGTGATCGATGTTTTCGGGGTTGTGGTCATCGTGGTGATGTATTGCATATCTGGTGGTCATGCCCGAGACTGTTTCGTTTTTGGTCTCGTGTATTTGGCCTCCTTTTCACTTTGTTCCATCTCTCCATACGCCGGGATGTTCGGTATGCTTTGCTTCATTGCCCCATACCGGGCCTCTTGGCTCACCAGCAGAAGTTGGCTTCCTATCTGTTTTTATCCGCCACTAGAACAATTGCTCAGGCCTGGAAGAGTCCGTTTGTCCCTCTTCAGGGGGTGCGGGATCGTATGACCACTATGATGCTCAACGAACAGATGTCGAGTATCCGCAATGACTCCCAACGTAAATTTTTGAAAATATGGGAGCCGTGGTTGCAATATGCCCTTCCCTCACTCTCCCCGACTAGTCTGGGAATGTAATGGCGTTCGGTGTTGGCGCTCTTGAATCCCTGCTCCCCTTCTTTTTTTTTTTTTTTTTTTTTTTTTTTTTCTTTCTTTTCCTTTTCTCTCTCTCTCTCTGTTTTTGGTGTGACTAGGACAGCTGCATTTAGTTGTTATAATCAGTTACATTAATGTTTTGTAACTTATGTGCCTTTGATAGCCCCTGCGTGGGCGTACCTTTTGCCCTGTTGGCATTAGAGCATTGTTTTTCCCCTTTTTTTTTATTTGGCATTTTGTTTATCTGTGCAATTGATAGCCCCTGCGTGGGCGTGTTTTACTGCCTCTGTTTATACTGTTTAAAAAATTTAATAAAAACCATGAAAAAAAAAAAAAAAAAAAAAAAAATGAGGGAGTGATGGCAGTTTACAAATCATGTCCTGATTTTTCCTTCCACACTCTAGCTTTTGTCAGCTCCCACTCTAGTTGCGCCATTCATTTCTATGGGACCAATTTCACCACAAAAACAGCGATATTTCGTGAACCATTCGGCGAAACGTTCCACAAAGTAACAGCGCACCAATCGGGAACAATCCGCACGTTTCCGTATATTACTGTCTATGTAGTGTAAGAGCTGTGGGAGGAGTTAGGGTGGCTATAATAATAAGAATCTATATGTGAGATAACAGGGGGGGGTCTGCAATGCAAAAACACCTAAAAAAGAGAGGCGGGGAACAACGCTCAACTTCCAAGTGTTCTGGAATGGGGCTCAGGGAGGTCTGTATTGCCCTCAGTGTCACTGATTCGGCCCCAGAGAGATCCTTCACTTGGTGTCCATTGAGCTTTCCCAACCTCTCCATCTGCTCAGTAAGCTTCGAGTCTTTTAAACCGCCCGAACTACCAAAATATCAACCTATGGAGAGTCAAATTTGAATTTAACATTAAAATCTTTCTTTTGGCTTGTATGTTCACTTCCATATATTTCTGGCTCTATAAACCATCTAAAAACACAAATAATTCAGATTTCATCAATCCTGAGGTGGCAAAACCCATTTCCCAGAATCCTTTGCAAAGATATGCAAATGAGCACGTTCAGCCAGTAACATTCAAATCATACCTGTGCTGATAACTGTCACCAGTGTGCCTATGAGAGCTCTCAACTGACATTCCATGCCATAGCTGGACACAGGAGCCGGACCACGGCAACCGCCTGTAAAATGACAGCTTTCTTACCTATAAAGGTTAGGGGGGGGGGGGGATTCTGCTGTAACAAAGCCTTCATTTTTCCTTCATGTGATCCTCCCAGCACTTTATGTGGCAATTTAAGTGTCTGCTGCAGCCTCTCCATGTATACAAGTATAGAATCGAAATTCAAGAAACCTCAAGGTGGTAATGTTGTGTTATTAACCCCTCTCACCTACCGGGCACTTCTACCCCCTTCCTGCCCCCCGGGCACTTCTACCCCCTTCTTGCCCCCCGTGCACTTCTACCCCCTTCCTGCCCAGGCCAATTTCCAGCTTTCAGCGCTGTTGCACTTTGAATGACAATTGCGCAGTCATGCAACACCGTACCCATATGAAATTTTTATTATTTTTTTGTGACAAATAGAGCTTTATTTTGGTGGTATTTAATCACCTCTGGGTTTTTTATTTTTTCTTAAACAAACCAAAAACCACTGAAAATGTTGAAAAAAAAATGTTTTTTCTTAGTTTTTTTTGTTATAAAATTTTGTAAATAAGTGATTTTTCTCCTTCACTGATGTGCACTAATGAGGCTGCACTGATGGGCACTGATAGGCTGCACTGATGGACACTGATAGGTTGCACTAATGGGCACTGATGAGGAGGCACTGGTAGGTGGTACTGATGGGCATTGACAGGCATCACTGATGGGCGCTGAAAGGCAGCACTGATAGGCGGCACTGACTGGCGCTGTTAGGCGGCACTGACAGGCACTGATAGGCGGCACTGATGCACACTGATAGGCAGCACTGACTGGCACTGATAGGTGGCACTGACTGGCACTGATTGGCATTGATAGGTGGCACTGACTGGCACTGATGGGTGACACTGAAAGGCAGCTCAGATGGGCACTGATATGTGGCATTGATGTGCACTGGTAGGCACTATGTGGCACTGATGGGCACTGGCGGACACTGACAGATGGCACTGCTGGGGCTACATTGATCATCAGTGCCCTGATGATCAGTGTACATGTCCCCTCCGTGGAAAGCCGATTTCTGGCTCTCCTCTCCTCTGTCAGTGTGACAGCTCGAGAGGAGAGAAATGCCGATAACCGGCATTTCCCTGTTTACATGTGATCAGCTGTGATTGGACACAGCTGATCACATGACCGAGCCGACATCTTCGGCTCTTTCCGTGATCGGTGATCCGCTGTGTCCGAAGAACACAGCGCACCGCCGATCGCCACGCTGCGCGCTCCCTGAGCCGCGCATGCGCAGTGAGAATGGGAGGACGTTATCCCAGAACGAGAGAACCACCTTGCACCCATCATACTACTATATGGCGGGCGGGAGGTGGTTAATATGGGTTTGGATTTGAACATGAGGGAGAATTCAGGGGCTGCTGAAAAAAAAATGCAGAAAAGTTCCTAAACGTGAGTTTATCAGCTGCAGTGTAAATGAACCCTAAAACCTGGAAGCTGATTGGTTACTATGCAGAGCTGCAGCAGATTTTGCACTCTCCAGTTTTAGTAAATAGCCCCATTGTCCACAGGAGCCATGCAATTTGTATTTGAAATCTTGGTGTGCGAAGGCATTGGGTGCGCTCAGAGTAGATTTACATCTTGTATGGCCAGGAATAGATTTAAATGAGTTTTTGGTACTTGGAGTTCAGCTTTAGTCCTCCTGCACACGGGATGTTTTTACAGCGGCTGTTTTTGGCATTTGACATTTTTTTTCTACAGCCAGTAAACCCCCCAGCATGTTCTCCTACGTGTCCATCCCCGGCGTGTTATCCTACGTGTCCATCCCCGGCATGTTCTCCTATGTGTCCATCCCCGGCGTGTTATCCTGTGTGTCCATCCCCGGCATGTTATCCTATGTGTCCATCCCTGGCATGTTCTCCTATGTGTCCATCCCCGGCATGTTCTCCTATGTGTCCATCCCCGGCATGTTCTCCTATGTGTCCATCCCCGGCATGTTCTCCTATGTGTCCATCCCCGGCATGTTCTCCTATGTGTCCATACACACACAGACTGGAATCAACGTTTTGTTTTGGCTGGAAAAAAAAAAAACCCAGGACTATTGGGTTTCTAGAGAAGATTTTTAGCTGTAAAAATGCTCTAAATGCTGAAAAATGTGGCAAAACGCTGTAAAACGCGGTAAACTGCCGCAAACTGGTGTTACAATGATAGGACAGTCCATGGAGGGGCAGATGGTGATACAATGACAGGACAGTCCATGGAGGGGGCAGATGGTGATACAATGATAAGATGTTACATAAAAAAAGTGAAATTCTAGAATAAAGCAATCATACAAAACAGTCTAAAATGAAGTGATATTACGATGAAATATTGAAGTCGTACACCGGGCTCTTTATAAAATAACTGTCCACGTTGGCTAACATGGAGTCCATGTGTGAATGAAATCATATCAGTAACATTTTGTAGATGTTGGTTAATATATGCTGTATTCTGTAGATACAGAATCTTATTCTGACCTCTGCTGTCTTTCTGGAAAAACTCGTTCTTGTAATTGGTGTGTCCTGTGTTGACTGTTTACATCAGATAATTATTGTTCCATCTGGAAAATACAGTGTCAGTAGAGCACACCTACACCTACATCCTCTTTCCGTACTTCCCCGGGAGATGCTGTTTGTAAAGGTGTATATACAGTACGTGCCAGTTTCTGAGATCTTTACAGAACGGAGATTATGACTTTTTTTGCTTTTGGACCTTTCTGCTGTGCAGGCATCAGCAATGATGTGTGAATCCTAGTTCTATAGTCCATAAGAGGACTACCAAGAATGGTTGGTGGACAGAACAGACTAAGTGGGATAACAACGTCAACTGGAAAAGGGCCAATGGGACCCCTTTATTGGTTTGCTTCCAGAAACAGCATTCAACATATAACCCACCTCATGTTATGACTTGAGTCTTCATCAGGGGTGATACGTCACATGCTATTAATCACATTGTATATGTGTGCAAAATAATATTTTAACATTTTGGTACCCACGTATTTGCATTCATCTGCAGTTGGCTTCAGGTCAGAGGAAATTGGGATTTTTCGGTGATGGATAGGACGGACGGCCGAATCTGCCCGCCTCATGTTTTGACATGAGTCTTCATCAGGGGTGGTACGTCACATGCTATTAATCACATTGTATATGTGTGCAAAATAATATTTTAACATTTTGGTACCCACGTTTTTGCATTCATCTGCAGTTGGCTTCAGGTCAGAGGAAATTGGGATTTTTGAGTGATGGATAGGGACGGCTGAATCTGCCCACCTCATGTTTTGACCTGAGTCTTCGTCAGGGGTGATACGTCACATGCTATTAATCACATTGTATATGTGTGCAAAATAATATTTTAACATTTTCGTACCCACATATTTGCATTCATCTGCAGTTGGCTTCAGGTCAGAGGAAATTGGGATTTTTGGGTGATGGCTAGGGACGGCCGAATCTGCCCACCTCATGTTTTGACCTGAGTCTTCATCAGGGGTGGTACGTCACATGCTATTAATCACATTGTATATGTGAGCAAAATAATATTTTAACATTTTGGTACCCACGTATTTGCATTCATCTGCAGTTGGCTTCAGGTCAGAGGAAATTCTGATTTTTCGGTGATGGCTAGGGATGGCAAAATCTGCCCAGATCCTGTATAAAGTTTGACAGACCCAAACTTAGTGGCAAATCTCTTTTAAAGACTATAGGAGGGATCTTCTTAGTAAATTCTGACCATTTTACATGCAAACTACTGTAAAAAAAAAAGTGGGGACAGGGCTTTTTAAGGTGGCTTTAAAGGCACCATTAAAATACACAAATCTTTTATACACCATGCTTGGGCTGTATGTGGTGTAATGGAACAGTATCATTTTCATGGGCAGTCGCAGTGACAGCGCACACTGGCTGCACATATTTGGTCGTGGAATTTGTTTTTTTCTCATTCACAATTATTTGGCTTTCATAAGATGAGAGCGCCCTTGTTTGATTAAATTCAGCTTTTAAAAAACCTTTTTTAGCTGGTCTTGGTAGTGATAGCTTTGTTTACCAAATGGTAATAGATCCATTTTGACTAGCAGATAGAAATTGGGCAGTAGTTCGCTGAAGCTGGCTATTTGTTTATTTCTAACTATCATTAAGAATTGGGGGACTGCAGATGACATAGCACTGTAAAACTGACCAACAGCAGGAGATTTTTAATGAGGGAGAGTGGGCTGAAATGTACTAAAGAAAGACTACAGGCAGATGTTTTACTCCTAAAATGAAAAAAAAATACAGAAGATGCAAGGCTAGGCCCAAATGTAATAGAAACAAACACAGGCTAGGGCTATACTAACAGATTCTTAATACCGCAAAAGAAACTGAAGTTTGAAATTGAGAAGGATTGGGCTGAAATGTACCATTTCAAAAAGTACAGGCAGGTGTTATACTCCTGAAATGAAGAGACTGCAGATGATGCAAGGGTAGGCCCAAATGTACTGGAGATAGGGAGCACAGGCTGGAGATTTACTGCCAGAATTAAAATAAGGGAAGGGGTACAGCAGTGTAAAATTGGTCAGCAGCAGGCCAGTTTTATTGAGAAAGATTAGGCCACAGTGTACTAGAAGCAAACACAGGCTAGGGCTTTACTAACAGAATCTAAATACTACAGATGAAACTGCAGTTTAAAATTGGCCAGCAGCAGGACATATTTAATGAGAAGGCTTGGGCTGAAATGTACCATTTCAAAAAGTACAGGCAGGTGTTATACTCTAGAAATTAAGAGACTGCAGATGATGCAAGGCTAGGCCCAAATGTACTGGCGATAGGGAGCACAGGTTGGCGCTTTACTGCCAGAATTAAAATAAGGGAAGCACTGTAAAACAGCAGGACATTTTTAACGAGGGAGAGTTGGCTGAAATGTACTAAAGAAAGACTACAGTCAGATGTTTTACTTCTGAAATAAAAAAGCAAAATACAGAAGATGCAAGGCTAGGATCAAATGTACTAGAAGCAAACACAGGCTAGGGCTTTACTAACAGAATCTAAATACCACAAAAGAAACTGCAGTTTGAAATCAGCCATCAGCAGGACATTTTTTAATGAGAAGGATTGGGCTGAAATGTACCATTTCAAAAAGTACAGGCAGGTGTTATACTCCAGAAATGAAGAGACTGCAGATGATGCAAGGCTAGGCCCAAATGTACTGGAGATAAGGAGCACAGGCTGGAGCTTTACTGCCAGAATTAAAATAAGGGAAGGGGTACAGCAGTCTAAAATTGGTCAGCAGCAGGACAGTTGTATTGAGAAAGATTAGGCCACAGTGTACTAGAAACAAACAAAGGCTAGGGCTTTAGTAACAGAATCTAAATACCGCCAAAGAAACTGCAGTTTAAAATTGGCCATCAGCAGGACATTTTTAATGAGAAAGATTGGGCCGTATCATTTCAGAAAGTATAAGCAGTTGTTATACTCCTGAAATTAAGAAACTGTAGATAATGCATGACTAGGCCCAAATGTATTGAAGACAAATAACTCAGGCTGGGGCTTTACAACCAGAATTAAAATACAGCAGAGGATACAGCAGAACAGTTTTAACCACTTGCCTACCGGGCTCTTTTACCCCCTTCGTGCAAAGGCCAATTTTCAGCTTTCAGTGCTGTTGCACTTTGAATGGCAATTGCGCAGTCGTGCAACACTGTACCCATATTACATTTTTATAATTTTTTTCACACACATAGGACTTTCTTTTGGTGTTATTTAATCGCCACTGGGGTTTTTATTTTTTGCACTATAAGCAAAAAACCTGCAAACATTTTTGAAAAAAAAAGTTTTTCTTTGCAAACAAGTAATTTTTCTCCTTCGCCGATGTGCATTGATGAGGCTGCTCTGATAGGCAGCACTGATGAGGTAGCACTGATGAGGCTGCACTGGTGGGCATTGATGAGGAGGCACTGATGATACTGCACTGATATGCAGCTATGATGGGCACTGACAGGCGGCACTGATGGGCACTGATATGTGGTACTTATGGGCACTGACTGGCAGCACTGATGGGCAGCAGTGCTGGGCACTGCTGGGTGCAACTACTAGGTGGCACTGCTGGGCAGCACTGATGGGTGGCACTGCTGGGCACTGATAAACAATGCCCTGATTATCAGTGCAGATGTGACATTTGTCAGTTATCGGCAGTACTTTCCAGCAACCAGCAACTGTATTTACTTTGTGATCTGCTGT